ATACATTTATACGTGTGCGTATAAAAGTTTCAATTTATCTGTTTTATTCTGTCTTAGCGTGTACCATGTTGCCTGCATGGCATGGTAACATCCACATGCATATACTCACTTTATATTTTGTAATTTCCCATGCACTTCCTGTGCAGGATTCTGGTACTAGACCAGGGGAAAGTTGCGGAGTATGACTCACCCGACAATTTACTGAGCGATACCAACACCATCTTCTACGGCTTGGCGAAAGAGAGCGGCATTGTCAACTAAGCGCTATCAGAAGAGTGAAGCTTTGAAACAGAAAGTGTATGGTCTATCCTTGGTAGGAATCTGGGATATATGTTTTCGGGGGTGTTTAGTCTGTGTTTTAGGGGTTTAGTGTAAGGGTTTTGGTGTTCAGTGAAAACTAATTTCCACAGCCTGGCGAAGTAGTTAGCATCGTCAACTAGGTAATACCACACGGTTTGAGATGATTCAAAAGTTCCGATTTTCGACTGTTTGTGATCTGGTTCTGTTATCGGTCTAGGAAAGTGGCGGAAGTTCGCTTGGCTGCGGAATGATTGTATATCCAGGAATTCAGGGATAAAAAAATCTAGACTGAGCAGCACTGATGTGCTTAAATAAACCGATATAATGGGACTTCAGCTCTGAAGAAAAAGTAGGGAAATCGAGAAGTCAAACGTTTATATGTATTGTTAACTGGTTAAAAGTAGTGAAGAAAAAAAACAGTTAATTCAGAGGTATAATGGATCTTGCTGGGGGTTGTAGTCAGACTCTTTTGGCCGTGGCCTACGAGCTATACACCGAAATAAATAGTTCCGCTCTGATGACGGTACGGGGAAAAGAAATGATTATTGTCGAGCTAGCTATCGTATGGCATTTGTCTCGAACTATTCGCATCTTTGCAGGCGTGTACTTTTTAAATAGCATTTCTTATAAAGTTTGTAGTACGGCCGCAGAAACTAAGTTCTTATGCCATCCTAAGGAGAGAATATTGGTTAGGTATTGAAAATGTATCAGGGACACATCTTTTAATCCAATCTTTTGTAATACAGCTATTTGTTGAACATTACACCCTTCTAGTCGACATAGATGGAACCTTCGCTCGCGTGCATCCCTCACAAATTGTACTATAATTGCGGGTGATATGCCGACCGTATCGCAATATAACCGAGCACGGTGCGAACTACATAATAAACTATAGAACTTCGCCTGCACTGTTCATATCCAAATGTTCATTGTGCGCGTTTCCTTCATATCTACATGATTCCTGAAACACTTACACACTTCACGTCCGCTGTCTTGTACGCGCAGTCTACCATGACCAAGCCATGACACATGTTGCAACTAGGCAGACCTGATCTACGATGCAAACTGACTTGTACATATTGAGGCAGTAGCCTTGTATAATACATACATACACACACACACACATACATACATACACACACACACTCACACACTCACTCACTCACTTACTCACTCACTCACTCACTCACTCACTTACTTA